TACGTGGATTATTTGGCAATAAACGGTTGTCTGGAATTTGATATTGTTCTCTAATACCGACAAGAAAACACCTCGTGACATATCATTAACCCTTAAGTCAATTTACCCCGCTTCCACAGCTATTTGATGGGTAAAATATCGCACGGAAAGAGAGAGAGTTAAAAGGGTATTTTAATCGGGTATGTGTTGTTAAATAGTTTTCGGTATCCATGCCTTTTATTTGCAATCAAATTTAAGTTATGATTGATCGCGATCGGTGAAGAGTTACTTTGCTTCAAATTAGAGAAATATGCTCTCTGTAGGGATTCTTCCGTTGTGCCAAATAATAAATATGAAGTCATCAAGACGTCACACATTTTCAACTTTTTCCATTTCAACGAAATCCTGATAAGACCGCTACGTATGATTAACGGTTAAATATAAGTTGTACAAACACGATTGGGTGAGAAGTGTTTTGTGACGGAATTATTGGCCACATCGACTTCTTTCAATTCGTTGTTTGTTCTGGTGATATATGGCCTTTGTCTTTATAACTGTTTGCTGATCATAAAAATCTCCAGTTGAGTACGCTATGGTATTCGTTCATAATTTATAGACGCGGTCGCACAGGCTATTAATTAAAAGACAGCTAGCTTGGTGTAGTCATCGCACCATCGTCACGTGACATCCGAGTCTTGCTTCTTATTGGTGGTTAGTTGATGACGATCTGGATTCCTTTTATCAAGATAACCTGCGCCTAGCCAACATAGGTTTTAATCAGATAAACGACGAAAACGAAATTTGACCGTTATAACAATTTTCCTTGTGACCACCTCTTACTTATTTTCCCTGGAAAAAGGCTCTAGGCAAGCATCCATTAATGGGCAACTTTTTGTCAAACAAATGCCTTTTGGGTCTGGTCCCCAAGAAGTGTGATGACATATAAGATAATTAATCTAAAGCAGGGGTGGCCAACCTTCTTTTAAAGCTCGCGATCGACTGAAATCTTCAGAATAGCTCGCGATCGACTGATCCCACGGCTGTCAATAAGCTCGGCCTTGGAATCGTCACAAATACTTGTATTTTATATGTTTCATTTAATTTGATTATGTAATAGTACCCGGAGTGAATTTTTATCATTCATTTAAGATTTATTCGAATCATACAATTCAGATCTAAGGCCTGTTTAATTTTATGTCTTAAGTTCCTCAAAAAACCTTGCGAAGGATTCATATTATCTAAACAACGGAAAATAAATATACTCAAACCATAAATGTTGCATGACTTCAGTACCAACTTCAGTATCTAATTTACAATTTCCTCCAATGACGATTCGTCGCTCGCTTTTGCGCATATACAGTACTGTATTCGCATTATTTTATAACACAGAACAGGCGCTGCATGTAACTGGTTCAAGGCAATTTTTGAGGTAGGCATATGTTATTATATTCGCTCGACATCAGACGCGATCGACTACTCGAGACGTGGCGATCGACTGGTCGGATCGCGATCGACGTGTTGGCCACCCTGACCTAAAGTTTATTTAATTAATTAATTTAATTAACAATAATTCTTATTGTACTAATATAAATTTTTACTCCGTATGATTTTATAGCAGACTTGGGGATTTTCCAACGATTTTATCTTGTTTGAAGGGCGGAAATTTTGATTTATATTTGCCTGAAGTACTAATATTTTTAATATTGTTAATACTACCTTGGTAATGTGAGGAGTACACCTAAGCAATTATGATAAGGGTTCAAATGAATAATACAATCAATTATTAGGGACCTTACACGATAAGGCATCATTGGCCATCGTCAACAAATATTTAGTATTATTGTTATGCTCAATTATGCACACATTATGAAATACGTACCTAAATCGTGTAGCGAGAATGCTATTTTCATCTAATATTAAATAACATTCCGTTAAAGATTGAATAACAAATTAGAATACAGTTTTATAAATAGTGGATATGGAAAGTTTAAAAAATAATAATTTTGAGTTAATTGGCAAAATTGCCGTGATCTCAGTGCGGTGTCGTGGTGGCCATGTTTTAATATACCTAACAATCGTATGGAAACTAACGGTTTCTTTCAATTCTGTGAATTAGTTGCCATGTATTTATTGTTGAAATAAAAACATAACGTTTTAAACGCGGGGTGATTTTTTCAAGGAAATTTGCTCAGAGGAAGGTTCACCTAAATCCTTCGAATCATCAAATTTCCATTAACTTATCGTCGAGTTGATTTTATATTGTTCGCTAATAACGACAATGAAATACCTCGTGACTAGGGCTGGGAATTTCAGGGAAAACACTTCAACTGTTACCCGGGTAAAATTAACCGGTTAACCGCCGCGTGACGTTTGACGTAATAATTTATATTTTCAGCTTGTTACGTCACAATGCTTATAAAGAAATTTCGCGTGTTCTTATTCCGGTATCGCTTATTAAAATTATTCACGAATCGAGATAGTTTCATGATTGCTCTGCTGCAATAGATAGGTAACGTGGTTCGGGCGTGTGGAAGTATTTTAGAAAACCTGATTCCGTTGTTAAACGTCATTTATGTGGCAAATTAATCAGTGTTCGATGTACAAATTTTACTTCGAGATATATATCATATAAAGAAAAACGTCATCAACTGCGCACTTGTTGTATAACATTGAATATCCGATTTTGCAATGAAATCGTGAACAATACATTTCGAAATCGACCGAAACTGATCTGAATTCATCATTGTCAAATTTCCATAATCAGCAATCTTGGTACTTCCATTATTTTTCACAATTATTGAGTATTGTACGGTATGAAGATGATTTGTACCTGAGATGTCAGTTAACGGATAAAATAAGTAACCGTTAATCATCTGAAATCGGTTAACCGGTTAACCATTCCCAGCCCTACTCGTGACATAATATTAACTCTTAACTCAATTTACAAATCATCTTTATAATGTACAATTTCTTCAAAAGTGATTACGTCATCGCAAATTTATCTCTGGTGGCGTTTAGTTCAAAAGAATATCACAAAAAGTATTGGTAAGGACCCAATGAATGTGAAAAATAATTGAAGTACCAAGATCGCTGATTATGAAAATTTGACAATGATAAACTCAGAATCAGTTTTCGGTCGAAATATATTGTTCACGATTTTATTGCAAAATCGTATATTCAATGTCATCGAATAAGTGCGCAGTTGATGCTGTTTTTCTTCATGATATCTCAGAGTAAAATTTGCACGTCAAACACTGAAAATTTGCCCCATGAATGACATTTTATAACGGATTCGGGTTTTACTAAAATACTTCCATATGTCCAAAGCACGCTGCATATCTCTTGCAGCAGAGCGATCATGAACTTTCTCCATAATTTTGAGCGATACCGGAATAAGATCATCCAAAATTGCTTTGCAACCATTGTACGCAACAAGCTAAAATTATAAATTATTATGTGAAACGTCACGCTGCGGTTAACCGGTTAATTTTACCCGGTTAACGGTTAAAGTGTTTTTCCTGAAATTCCCAGCCTTAGTCATTACACGTTTTACGACCTCACATATTTTTAAATGCTTTCATTACAACGAAATCCTGGGGAGCCCGTCACGTATGATTAGCATAAGTATTTTGTGACAGATTTATTGGCCACTCGTTTCCTTGTTTCCTGATGATACATAGCTTGGGTCTTTAAATCTTATGAATGTTTGAGCATCATAAACCTTTCTAGTCGTCTAGTACACCATGCTATTCGTTTATAATTTATAAGTCGCGGTCGCACAGGTCATTAATCACTCAGTACAATTTGCGCAAATATGAGTTTTCTTTACTTCTGAGTGAGTACCCGTAACTTTGTTGAAAAGTGAGTCTCCCTTATTTCTGAGTGAGTTCCCGTAACTTTGCTTCAGAGATTTCTTTTAATTGAGTGCACATGTTAAACCATCATGATATTATGTATTCCAATGGATCAGGGCATTTCAGTAGTCGCGAGCCTCCTTTTTTCTTAGTGAGCCAAATGTACCATCCTCATTCTATGCTGTTCCAGTAGATTTCAGCGTTTCAGGGGTGGTGCCTAACTCTACTCGAGTCTTCCTTATTTCTGAGTGGTAGGCTATGGAATGAGCCTCTTCCCGACGTTAGACGTTCAAGATTGAAACGCTAACTCACACATGATTATTGTTTATAATGGTTTAATTTAATAATTCACCTATGAAATTAGCACGGGTGGAACACTGAAGAAATATGTGACCACGGGCGCATAGCTTGGCCGAACCTTCTCCTTATATCTTGTTTCGCGCAGTCGTTGCTGCACGATATGAAGTCGATATCATTTTTTAATATTCTAATGATTTAGATTTTTTCTGGTTATTTCAATATTAACTGTGAATAATAAGGCTTTAATCAACCAATGATCGGTTTGTGCCTAAAATCTTTACGTCACGATTATTTACATCTGGGCCATATGATGGGTATTTGGCTTGGAGCCGGTTCTTCAGCGTACGATATAGTTACGTCCAACGCTTAGAACTGAAAGTCCCGTAAACTTGAAAAAATTGAATTTCAATCGTATTTTCGAGATGGGGTTGCAAAGTATGACGTAAATTGTTCATTGCTCGCCGACGATTATTTAGAATTCGATGCGTATTGTTTGCTAATAATGATAAGGAGTCACCAGTGTTTGTTACTTGGTATTAACCCAACTTTAACCCTAGGCGCTGTTATTTTTAATTATCAATGCTGAGACAAGTGAAACATCGAGCGTAATGAGAGTGTTAGAGCTGCTTGATGTTTTTATTTATAACGCGATATTCACAGCGAAGAGTTATTATGCATCGGCGAAAACACTAAAAAACAAAACTAAATTTTGTTTTTTTTTGAGTCCAGACCCGGCTTATAACTCTGACCTAGTTATATTTATTATTTTTTATTTGTGCTGTTCTCCTACATACACTCTACAATCTTTATAAAATACATATTTCATTTTTTCAGGAATAATTTGCAGTAAATAAGACAATTCGTTAAATGGCTGAACAAGAGCGTCAACCTCCAGTTATTAATGTTCAACTTCCAGCTATCATGGTCCATTATCAGGAAGGAACGAGGTTTACTGGAGACAGCGTTAGGTAATTATTGATTGACAAGGAAATATTCCATTCTGTCACATACGGCTCTAAGTGCCGCGGTTGGGAATCATTGGTTTAAAGTGAAACATTCATTTTACTCCAAATAACTCGTTCATTTCAGTGGTAGCGCATAAGTTATGAAAGACTGGCAGTTATTAAGCTGTTTATGACTTATCTCATTCCTAAACCTGGAGTATACGTAACGTATTGATTTGAATATTTTTATGAATTTTACTTAAAAAAAACTAACAAACAGCAAGTGTATAAAACGTGTCCAACACACTGTCATTGAATATATGAAAACAATCATTTATTTCATTTCCAGGCAGAAGACGGATGTTAAGGCTGAGAAGATTCGTCAGGTCGTCGTTTCAACACCAGGTATATTCTCAGCCTAAATATGCTTCCTCATCAATAGCAATAGGGGGTTGTTGAAAAATATTCAACTCATTCTCAGGTGACTCAGAAGCTACTCAGCCGTAACCCATAAGCCGAAAAAACGGTGCTCTCGAAATAAAACGGTCAATAGGCCGTTTGTATATACTGGTGCAGATATTTAGACATGTGAATACAATCAACATTTTTTTATATTCCATTCGGGCCTACTGTGCGTTAGTGAGTAGGGAGTCAAAGTTCTGCTATATAGCACGTATAGGTTTTAAATATTTATTGTGAGCCACAAAAGCTTGGCTCACAATATATATTGACGACTGATTTTCACCAACCGATTCAACTTTGCTTTAGACACCGAACGTACATCCTCATCCTCTGACGTCACACAATCGCTTGGAAGTATGAATTTGAGCGGCGGAATGATGGATTTCATCGCATGTGGTGGGTATTTGTGATTTTTATATTTTGTCCACTTCAACATCGTGAATGAGATAATATATACGACAAATGCCGATATCATGTACGAAAAGACTTGCTGCCCGCTATTTAACACCGAAGTAATAAAACTCTGATTCCAGCGGGCGATAACCTGTTGGTTAATTAACTGAACTTGTTTAAGTATCATGAGTGGAGATGTATCGGTATCGGCCATATCGTCCATTTTTTCGGTAACGGCTTCGGCTAAATACAGATATTTCCTATATATTTAGATTTTTAATCTGATCCACAATGTTTTCAAAAATAATTCAGAATATATACTAATGTTATTATTATTTGCTTGGAGGGATTGTGTTCGCGGTATTGGTCTCGTTAACTCTGAACCATGCTCATTCCAATCTCCGCGAGCAGAAACGGAAACAGGATTCTGGCCTGTTTTAACCATTTATCAGCCAAACTAGCTCAAATAATTTGGCTATTTTTTCCGGCAAATTTTTATATTCACATTTTCAATGTTACATGGTGATTATGATAAAATATATCAATCCTGCGCACGCAACTCGATAGTAAGTAACCATTTATTCATTTTATCACTCATCGTATAGCCAAACTCATGAGTGATTGTTGGCATCGATGCGAAATGCGTCTAAATGAATAAATGCATTTTGATCATAAACATCAGTCTGAAATATCTCTTTTTCAATCTGAAATAATGTGCTCTATGAATAATGCTCACAGACTATTGTTTTAAACCCGTCTGCCCACTTAATGTAACAAGAGAGCTATGCTCAAATATATGGACACGTAGCGCCACCCAATGGCAATAATTTTGATGACGTCATAGCGAGAGAAAAAAGTAATAGCCTTTTGGAGAAAAATTTTATCTTTAAATTTTATCTTTTAAAAATTTTATCTTTAATGATAATGACGAAAGAAAATAACAATAACAACAAAATTTTGAAACGATCGTTATGGCCACTAAACGTGTCCAATAAACGTGTCCAATAATTATAAAGTATCGGCTTTTAATATATCGGCGTTTTTTCATTGGTATCGCTATAGGGCAGGCGACAAAACTGGTATCAGGTACATTTCGGTTTCAAACTGGTTGTCCATCACCTCACCTAGGGTTGAATAAAGTGAGTGGGAAACCGGGAAAATTCCAGGTACTTTTAAACATAAGTCCTTACATACCAGTGGCCGCTTGTATAGAAATTTGGGCGCTCCAGAAGTGGGTGCTTCAAACAAATCCTGCTGTTCCCGAAGTATTCGTACCAAGATGACGCACAACCTGAACCATAACCTGGTACACATACTATGTTCAGATAGTGCGCCATCTTGGTAGGAAAACTTCGGGAGCACCGAGATTTGTTTGAAGTTAAAGATGCCGTTCGAAAAATAGTTGCAAATAACAGAGCAAGCTGTTGACTCCAAAATCGCAAGCTTACTCCAAAATTTATTCAGTTTAAGGTTCTAATACAGTGTTTTCCAACCCGAGTCCGCGGTCTCAAATGAGTCCGCAGAGCGTTTGAATGAGTCCTCAACGAGCAACACCGTTTTAGAAAGTTATGTAGTAGTATATTTAATGTAGGCAACTGACCTTTTCAGTGTCGCGAAATTCACTGCGGCGCAAAAACGTTTTTACCAGACTTAAGTACCAGCCAAGTTCCGATTTACGTTAGTATTTACATAAAACATAAAAGGCAAGTTTATACACATAAAAGTTATGTAGTAGTATATTTCATATAGGTCACTGAGCTTTTTAGTGTCGCAAAATTCATTGCAGGGCGGAAACGTTTTTACCAGACTTAAAAGGCAAGTTCATTCCCATAAAATTAATCGAGTCAATAATTAGCGAGTAGGGCTGGTTAAAATATTCGAACAGCAAACGCGCCGAATCAAACATGAGTTTCACATCCTTTTAGTTGGTAATTTTGTCTGTCTGTTAGATGCACGCGATATCTCACGAAAGCAAGATTGAATCTGCTCTATGTATGTCGGACCAGAAGCCTATTGATTTTGGATGAATTATGTCGTATAATAAGCAAATTATTGATTAATTAGTGATGGCACACAAGGTGTCACTATGGAGTAAGAGCGCTGTTTTGGGGGATCCCCTAACTTTCGATCGATAAGTATTCGGTCTCTGACCGATATTCTCGTTTTTGATTTTATTGCTTCTTCACACACAGATCAGGTTTACAATTAACGCACAATGAGTCCGCAAAGATTTTCCCCGGTGAGAAAATAGTCTGCGACCAAAAAAGGTTGGGAAACACTGTTCTAATAAAATCAATGAAATATCAACGTTGTGTTATATGTTTGTTTGCAATAAAGTGTGAGCGCAAAATTATATAAACCTAATAACTACAACAAATATTTCCAGAGAATTCGCGTCATCTCATGCAAAATAACGAATTCATCGAAGCTGCGGATCAGATGGAAGATCTTTCGCCGTCACCATATCAACAGCTAATAATGTCAGAATGCTACTTTCAACTAGGAAGAGAAAGAAACGCATTGAGGTGTGTTGAAGCGTTACAAACAATGATGACGTCATCACCGAAACCTAAAGTCAATGACGTCATCAAATTGGTTAATGTTTACATTTCTGATTCCTCTCATATTCGTGCATTGATTTTACTCTCTTGTTGTGCTAAGTTGTATAAGTTCGATTCGAACTCGAATGATTCGGTTGATGGGATTAGGGAATGCGCATTTAAATGTTACAGCGTGATCAAGGCTATGGCTAAAGAAGGCGATAGGATGAAAGCGATTGCAACAGATGTTGGTTTGGGAATGATCACTGATATGTTGACAGAGTTGAGATCAGTATCAGGATCTGATAAGAATAATAGAGCGGATATGGAAGCGAGATGCTTGAATTATGTTGGTTTGAGTTACAAGGGAGTTGGCAAATATAAGAAAGCGATCGAATTTTATAACGAAGGTGTAGGTTTGTTGAAAAAAACGTTTGGTTCAAACGCTGGAAAATATAATGTGTTTGGGAGTATATTAAGCAACATTGGTCATGCGCATCATAATCTCAGCGAATATTCCAAGGCTGAATCGTTTTATTTGCAATCTCTGGATGGGTATGAAAAAGCTGAGAATTGGCCTAGTGATAAGAAGAAACAGGAAAGTATAGAAACGACAACGAAACACTTGAAAAACACCCGGGAAAAAATAAAAAAGTGTTGATCTGAATGAACCTTGAACCCTGTAGTTGCGGACGCCTTCAATTCATGTTTTTTATGAAATTTATTCGGACCGATACAATTGATGTCGAAATAGTTTATTTGAATTCTCAAGAACGAATTTAAGTACGATATTACATCACTTAGATTTAAAAACATTTCAAACACAAAAAAATTGCTGTAAATCACAAAATCCCCCGCATAAAATAAGATTTTCAAATTTAGAAAAACCAAATCTACAAAAAAATATCAAACTCCTCCAAATTCAAACATTTTCCTGTTTTTTTCTCTTCAAACTATTATCTCTTCAAATTATTATAGTAGATAGTACGCGATAATTGTTCTTAGTTTCAGTAGTTTTTGGTATTCCATTCTGTAGGTGAGAGATCAGTTTCATTTATTTCCGGGTGAGTGCGCCATCATATTAGCTTCAGTAGCTCTTTCAGTGGTCGCCCATAAATTCGTTGGAAAATCAGCCTTCCTTTTTTCTGAGTCAGTGCGTGACCTTGCTTTATGTAAATTTCACAATAACAATTCCAAGCAATGATAATTGCATTTTAATAATATGTAGAATTATAAATAAATGTTGATTTTAGCACTGTATCTATTTTATCTGCTTGGAACCGAATCGCTAAACTCTTTTATCACAGGATTGCTTTAATATATTCGTGTTTTTTGTTTCCTTATATCAATGGATGAGACTCAATTTATTTTAACACTGTTGATTTCTAACAGTCCAAGAAGGATTCGACCCAAGATCTTTAACTTGTTATTAATAAACAAGTTTACAGTCCCCATAATTAGACAATGGCTGGGAAAGTCATCCCCATAACTGTTTTGGTAACGCAGATTACACTCAGCTCCAGATTGCCGACGAACCAAAAATATTCCGGTTCCCAGGCATCGTTAGATAGTGGCCTTTTTCGGAGAGAAATACATAACCAAGTGGCATATACAAAGTAGTGGCCTGCCATCTTTAATTCATATGTAATCCCAAATATTTTTGTTTTCTGGAAAAATTTTGATTTCACTTAACGCTTAAAATCCTGTCTCTCGAAATATCTATATTTCAGTGTCCCGCCCCGGATAATTTGAGAATATCGGCTCCAATGAAAACATTTTTTGACTCACACGGCCCTGCCATATAACCAAAATACATTTTTAGCTCCATGCTAATATAAAAATATATTTCTAAATTATTTTTGTTTCTGTATATTTTTGATCTGATAATGTCAGTCTTGTATATTGTTGTATGCTTGTAGATTTTGGTTATCAGTAGTTTGCGTAGCAATTATGAGTTCATTTGAACTTTGATGATAGATAACGCTTCAGCAATTCTCGACTTTGCAACGTTACTCTCAAATTTGGATTTATGCACTTTTAAAAACACAAAAACTAACGGATATTTCATAATTAGGTCTCATGTCATTTCCATCGGCTCATTCAAAGCATGAAATCTAATATTTGACAGGCGAAGTCTTGGTTTCGAACCTTCTTACAAACTATCCTGATTGTATTAATCGCTCCATTTGATGTCGATGCCCAAGTACAAGCTTGCCTGTCATTGATCCTAATGTACCGGACAAATGACCCCAACGATTTTCATTGATTGTATTGTAATAAAATGAAATAAATTTACTGTTAGTTTACATTGATTCAAGTCAGTTACTGATATTTTATTTTAATTCATTAAATTTTTTTATATGATTTTGGTTGATTTGATTTGGATTTTAAAGCCTGTAACTTTCGTTGTTCATTATTATGTCATTTTACTTTAATTCATTGAGTGTTTCAACATTTTTTGCAGCGATAGATGTAGCAATTGAATAAATATAATCGAGCCTATCAATCGAGTGGTTTCTTAGTGTGCTAAACCTGATACAGAAAGAAACAAAACTTGTATACTGGGCTTTTATTAGCTCAAACGTCGACTAAGAGTCTTAAACCAGCACAACCAATGAATGACTTTCAAATCAAAACACTTCTTAGTTTGTCGGAATTTGTCAGAAACAACATTGATTGAGGTACCTCGCCCCTTCCACATATTTCCCACCCTGGTCTAGATAGAGGTTAAAGCGCTAGATTTCGCTGTGCTGACACAGCACAAGCAGGTTAAATACTGCGATTCGATTTCTATGTCTTAGTTTGTCGAGAACAACTTAAAGAACCCCACCCTCCAATATATTATTACCCGGATTGTGAACAACGTAGTGCAATGGCAAAGCGGTTAAAAAGTTGGCTGTGTTAGCATCGCAGGCTACATACTCAGCTCAGATTTAAACCAAGGCTTACCACACCACCCAGGGTGTGGTGAATTGTGAGCAATACTGGATTTTATTAGATTCCGGTTCCTAATTAATAAAAGTATTAAGTTTTTATATTTTTTATATATTGTTAGATGAGTCATTTTACACCAGATCTGTGTATAACTCTAAAAAAATTTATAGTACAATAAAAATTGACTTGAAACTTACACTATCACAATGCGAGAAAAAGAATACGTCCGCGAAATCATGAAATTTACACTGTCGAAAAGGGCGTTTTTGATCTCTCGCGGCTCCCGAGCCTCCTAAAACAGGTTGTATGGTGTTTTCTGTTGTATTCTTATAATTTTATACTGCCGTTTTTGATGAAGAGCACAGAATCATTTTCATATGATATTTAGCATCTCATCGCCGATGATTACATAATAAATTTATGGAGAATAAACACAGGCGTAAAGTATTTCCGGCCTACATAACGGATTACGCTGTCAAAAACAATCGCCGATTTTAACAAAATGCAATCGCGCGCGCTTTTCTATTCTTCCAAATATTTCAGAATCTGACCCATAAGACATCCCCACCCGACTGCGCCACTGAATTATATATAAGGCTTGGCAACATCACACAATACCCCACCAGATAAGCAAGATAATATCGCGTCTGTCCCGACAAAGCATAAAAATCAAATGAAATCCAGTACTCACAATCTCCATTTTATTTCCAGTTTTCAGCTTTTGATACAGTCGTTCATGCTTGGCATGGAAATGAAAAAAAGTATAATCCATAGATATAGCTTGGCCATACATGGCACACTCACAAACTATACATTACGCACTGTGGTAAATGTCGTAAACTTGATCGCAATTCGCGAAATTAAATTTAACTACTCAGCTAAAATGAGATAATTGATAGTTAGAGCCAAGCATGGCCAGATGGTCCTATGTATGCACTTACTACAAGCTTGGCAAAATGAAAAGTTAACATTGAAAACACATTTACGTAGAAATTACAGTTGAAGTTTTGATTCAATTAAAAATTTACCGATTTGGACAACTCAAGTTATTGTAGATTCAAGCTTGTTCACGAGAACGTGTAAGATATTGGTTTATTTAGCTTCCTTTGGTTGACAGCTGTACGTGTTTTAACTCAAAATTATTCTAATCATACGCAAACGTTTGAATAAGAAGTAAGCCAAAGTGATGAAACGCGATAATTAGACGACCTAGAGCAGAGGTGGGCACGGTTTTTGGATCAGCGGCCAAAAATTTTGCCCACCTAGACTGGCGAGCCATATAAAAATGACGTAAAGAGTTACATTTTATAAACATCACAGTGTTACAAAAGCAACCGTGGAAAACAATAAACCTCGTGCCAAAACTAAATTTAACCGCAATCTCAACAAATTGAGCTATTTTTAAATGGAACATCTAAATTTGATTTCGGTTTGTTTGTAGCAGCATCCGGCGGGCCAGATTGAATTACCCAGCGGGCCGTACTTTGACAAGGTCTGACCTAGAGGCTGCAAAGACAGTACAGGTCCATTCCCTCGGGATGGGATACCAGAACCAAGGTATAAGTGACCACTCGTCAGGCGAGGGAATGGGCTGCTAGAACAATTAACAACTCGACATGCGTGCAGTAAAATTTGGATTTTGTTTGTCTTATAAGCCATGCTTTGGAACTGTTCATTGTATTCGTAAATCAGTGGCGGTGCGTCAATAGGGCCAACCGGGGCAATGCCCCGGTTGTTTTTTCGGTATAATGAAAAATATTCGAAAAATACCTCAATATCGGTTGTACAGACTGTCTACACTAGCCATATTCTCCCGACATTGTTCATTTTTCGCTCGCAAAGCCTTCGCCGAACGTCGACGGGGCGACGCCGATTTTGCCCCGGTTGCTCATTGTATATCGTATTCTCTCTTTTATCTTCCACTCGCCGCGTTTGTCTCGTTTGTTTTCTGTTTCTTTTACTAAATCATCGGGGCCGATCGGGGCTAGCCCGAAATTATGACGACACAATGCCGACGTTTCTTACAACAACGTGTTGACATATTCACGCATTCCTTCTCGTTCGTTGGTTGCTTGAAGAGTTGATAGTTTCCTCGCCTTCGTTTTTGTCGCTTGTTTCGCTATTTGAATCAGTTAGAGACCTTTAGTCCATTTGCTTTCGATTTTCACGTGACTCACGTTGGTGTAAATTTGATTTTAGAGATCTTAAACATCTTTCCGAGCGTGCCAGGGATCATCAATTTTCTATGAGCATCTGGACAATGCAGTAAAATACCGAACATTCGGAAATGTTAATATCGCAGCACAGTTGGATGAAGGACGCGCGGTTTCTATTCGTCGGCACAACCAAAACGTCGAGAAAAACCGCCATGTTCTCGGTCGATTGATAGATGTTTTTGAAGTTCATTGGTTGTCACGAGCTGTCCCTCCGTGGGCACGATGAACGGGCTGGCTCTTCTAATAGAGGGGTATTTTTTGGATATGGTGGAATACACCGCATCCCTAGATACAGTATTGAGAGATCATCTTGATGCCGCAACTGTTTCGAAAGGGACATCTAAGAATATCCAAAATGATTTGCTCGACTCAATGTAAAAAATTTATTTACAACATTTGGCTCTGGAAATTGAGAATTGCCAGTTCCTTTCGATCCAGTCTGACATCACGTGCGTTTCCCAACTGGCTGTGATTTTTCGGTTTGTGAAAGATGGTAAACCTACCGAGAGAT